CCCTAAACCCTAAACCACCAAAAAAATACAAAATAAAATAAAAAAACGTTGGGGCGGATCCTCGCGAAATCATCCCTGTCCCTGCCCTTTGGGATCCTATGATCCTATTCTGAATGCGGGGAGAGGGTTTCGAGGCTCCAAAGACCCTGAGAGCAGAGTAGGAGCAAGAGCAAAAGCAAGAGCAGGAGTTAACAGTTGGAGCAAGAGCGGGAGCACAGCAAGAGCTGCAGCACGAGCAAAGCAAAAGCAAGAGGGAGCAGGCGAAAGCGACGTAGCAAAAGCAGGAGCAAAAGCCAGCACCGGAGCAAGAGCCAGAGCAGGAGCCCTAATCATATAATATCATATAAATACTTTCCGAATCTTTATTTCGGGCCCCCCCCACCCGGTTTAATGCTAGGGGGAAACGATTAAACTCCCGTTCGTCGCAGCGTCTGCACGGCTGTCGGAACTGCCACCGTCGCTGCCTCCGAGCCGGCCTCCTTTGCTGGGGGCTCCTCGGCAGATGTCGGGCTTTTCTTTGTGTCTTACGATGTCGGTTTCAGCATCTTTCTTGTAGAGTTGAGTCGCTCGGTTTACATTGGTATTTGATGCTCTTTTTAACGAAGTTTCCTGTGTGTTTCTTGGCATTCATAGATCTCCGTTATTGTGGTTTTGCACGGGATTGAAACTGGGGCCATGATAACTACGGAGAAGGGATTTGTGGTGCAGTAGAACCATGAAGCGCGCGACCTCTGTATTGCAGTTCTGGCATAGCAAGTCTGAGGTCTTGGCAATAGGGTTTCACATGATAAACGCTAAGGGTTTGGGGTTTACGGCTCAGCTATACGGATTGTGGGGCTTCGTCTGTCAGTTCTATTTGGGCATATACCCTAAAGCCTAAACCCCATGTAGACCCCTGGCCAGTAACCCCCTTCCTATAATGAAGATGATCATAGGGAACTACAGGCCCTTAAACTCAAGGGTCAGTTTTTTTTCGCAGAATCTCGTAGTAGACTGTTACAGGCACTCAAAAAAAGGTGAGATTATTGCTAAGCATTCAAGCCTTGCCATGCAGTTGGGTTTCGGCAGAGTTCCATGTGGGTGTTCTGCATGTTCAAAGGGTGAGGATTTCAGGCTTCGGGGCTTGAAGCTTATGCGCGGGTTTTACGACTAACCCAAGGCCAACAATACCCTAACCACGCATACACTAACACCGGGAAATCGCACATCTGACATTCCCTCAACCCGAATCATTCCTACGTCCCCCAAAACTACAAAGCCCCCGGACCCAGATTCCCTAAATCCCGCTTTTCTTAGTGATTTGACATTGATACTTCATTCTACTATATGTGCTCTCCGAAGCTTCCCCGAAGATGCCACAACAAGTGCCCTGCCTGAGACCCAAGGTAACGGCCGCAAAGCTCCACCAGGCAATTGCGCCATCCCTCGTGATCGTCACTGCTACCTTGAAAACAAGAAGGAGAGTCGGAAATCAAGGATCCCATTGTCGAACCATACTACCAGTAGTAAGATACTTGTACAAGGATCTCAGTTTAAAGGAGTCCCCCAAATCAACCTCAAAAGCCTTTCAGCTCAATTTTGCCACAGGCTGCGGGCAATGCCGGGACACCTACAAGTCAACACCATGCATCCCTGGCTTGACCGATGTCTGCACAATAACCCAAACCCAGAGAACCCAATACCCTTTAATTAAGGAATATACCGTAAATCATAATATTCAGGCCCTTATCATTTAAGGTATATTCCTTAATTAAGGGGTATTGGGTTCTCTGGGAAGGGCAAGTCCAATCACGTGACATGCCGATGACCAGTGGTACTTCCCAGAGCCAACGACGTCCTAGGCTTTACGGCTCGCGGCTTGGCCCACACACCCTGATCGCCAAACTGTTTGTAAACTCTGCATCCCACAGTAGTGAGAGCCCTGAAAACCAAACTAAGCAAACCCCCATCCGAACGGCCCCAACTCGGTCGAGCTAGGGAAAACCACCCCGAAGCCGCAAACAGCAAAGCTCCAAATCATCACGCCCCTGGGTGTCCTAATCCCCGAAACCTTCAACCCCGGTGTCCTGCATGTCGCCATCCTCACAGCCTCAAAACCAAGTATGGTGGCAACTAAGATGAACCCTTAACCCAAACGGGGATGATGTCCAAGATGCTTGGTGGGAGGATGCCAACCGTTTGCAGCCTCCTCTTGAGCGCTGGAACATCCACAGCCGACGCCATGACTTCTACTTGAAATGCTTCCGTTAAAGTGTATCTTGCGCACATGTATGCATTGTCGCATGTATGCCGGTATGTAGTTATCTAGTAGGTATTAGGCAGGTAGATGGGTGGGTGGGTGGGTGAGTGGGTCGGTGAGTAGGCGGGTAGTGCCCAAGCGGATGGGGTTGGATGATGCACAGAGTCACAGGCCGTTGCTTTTAAGCCCTGCTGCTGGCCCCGTACTTGCTTAGTCCTCCGATCCTTGAAGTATAGCTTCCAGTGTGGATCTCAGGACCAAAATCCTGGGGACTGGGGGTGACAGGCGAACGAATTCAACGTGATGCTAACTAAATCGCAGAGCTGCGCAAACAAAGCACTGCATCTGGAAGCCAATCTTGCTTCAAAACAGGCACAACAAGATTTTCGACACACCATGGCGGACTGCATCGAGGTGGTGTTTTGAAACCTCTGACCTCGAAGCACCGGCTTTCAATGCTCTCAATGATGGTCGACATGTCGCATCCCTCGAGCTACACCGAACTCGAGCCTCTCACGGACAACAGGGCCCTAAACCTTCGGCCCTAGAACCCGTCAGCCCTCAACCCTCAACCCCCCAAACCAGGAAATAGATGCTCAAGTGCTGGGCATCCGACTCTGATCTCAGGATTTCAAGATTTTCTATCTGGCTCTATGTGGGGGTTTCAGAGCTTATAGAACTGCCGGGTCGGGTGGATGGTCCTAGAACCGATTCTGGAGTGTTGGGGTTAACTGAGTCTCTGCGGGGCCTGGGGGGAAGGGTGTATAGGGTCGAGGGTGGAGGGCGTTTGTGGAGGTGTAAGACGTAGGGTTTTAGCTGCAATGCGGAAGATGGTGCGAAGCGCGACGACCGCGTCTGCAGCAGGGAGGTGCCATCCTCAGGTATCTTGGGATCGAAACAAACCCATCCATACATGCCTGCAGTTGGAACGACACTCTGCCTGCTTTGTGATGTCGTCAAACGCACTAGTCACTATCACTAGCCGCGCCGGGACATCTCAGATGATCTTGCACACATCTGCCCTCTCCACATCCTGCAGGGGATGCAGCTGAAGAAACAGAGCTATCGGTCTGAACCTCAGAGGAGCTGTTGCTGTCTCCTCCTCTGCATCTGCCATCACCCCAGATCACAACCGAGCCATCCGCTGAAATGGCTGCAAAAGCAGAATTTGTGGCTTGGATCTGCTGCACGTTCTTCAGCTGATCTTGGACTGTGCTGCTGTCTCCACCGCAGTTGCTGTCGCCCCAAGTCACGACAGAACCGCCGGGCAGAATGGCAGCGAAAGCACCTTGCGTTGTTTGGATCTGTTGGACATTTTTCAGCTGAGCTTCTACCTCAGAGATGTCTTTGTCATCGTCAGTATAACCCCAGCTAACAACAGAGCCATCGGTCCGAATGGCCACAAAGGCAGAATCCGTGGCCTGGACTTGCTGCACATTCCTCAACTGGTCCTGAACTTCGCTGCTGTCTCCACCGTGATAGTAGTCACCCCAGCTCACGACAGAGCCATCGGCTAGAATCGCAGCAAAGGCCTCTCCAGTTGCTTGAATCCGTTGCACATTGTGCAGCTGATCTTGAACCCGACTACTGTCTCCACCTCCACTCGCTTCGCCCCATGTCACGACGAGTCCATCCGCCAGAATCGCAGCAAAAGCCGCTGACGTTGCTTGGATGTTTTGCACAGTCTGCAATTGGTGTCGCACCTGCGTGCTGTCTGCACCATTGTCGTCATCACCCCAAGTCACGACAGAACCATTCGCCAGAATGGCCGCAAAAGCAGAACTTGTGGCTTGGACCTGCTGGACATTCTTCAGCTGATCTTGGACTGCGCTGCTGTCTCCACCGGACTCATAATCACCCCAAGTCACGACAGAACCGTCGGCCAGAATGGCAGCGAAAGCACATGATGTCGCATGCACCTTGTGGACATTTTTCAGCTGAGCTTGCACCTCGCTGCTGTCTCCGCCGAATTCGTCATAACCCCAGGACACGACGGAGCCATCCGCGAGAATGGCCGCAAAAGCTGAATGGTTGGCTTGAATCTGCTGCACGTTCTGCAACTGATCTTGGACCTGGCTGCTGTCTCCACCTCTGCTGGCACCACCCCACGTTATGACAGAACCATCGGCCAGAATAGCAGCGAAAGCAGCCCCAGTCGCTTGAACCTCTTGGACGTTGTTTAGCTCAGCTTGCACCGCACTGCTGTCCCCACCCCCTCCTATGTCACCCCAGGTCTCAACGGAGCGGTCGCTGACAATCGCCGCAAAACTACTATGGGAACTTGCAACGCGAACCTGTCCCAGGTGAAGTGTTAGTGCATCACCGCTCTGCAGGCCGCATTCCTGGACCGTGGCGGCTGCTTCCAGCAAGACCCCGGATTGGTCGAGAAGCCGCCCCTTGCCAACATGCAGAGCCTGTTGCGCACGGCAGCTCAGCTGCCTTATGGATTCGCCTTCTGCTGCATCAATGCGCATGCTCTTGCCACTGATCAAGCTGATGGTAATGGAGACATCACTGGTAGACTTGTTCGACATGGCGGCTTACTGCACCTCTGGATGATTGAAATTAGGAAGTCCCTGGGCCCTGTCTGAAGCCACCGCTACTGTGTGTTATGTACTTCAACATTACAAACGAACTCTTGTTGGTGAAAGTCTGTCGGTTGAGGCGTAGCAATTTGAACTTTGCCCCAATGCCGGGCCACCTTCCCGTGCACACTGAGTCAGCCCGGCTCCCTCTTGCTGCATGTAAGCCCTGCTCCCCTTTGATTTGGGCTTAGAGTGTTGAGGTGCCTAAGTGGAATCTTGGGGAGTGGATCGATAGGTACTGCATGAGTGCAGACTGCAATCTGCAGGCCTTAGAGTCGGCATTCTTTGTCTACTTGGACACTTCCCTAAGGGTCCATGTATCCATATTACTCTGGACCCTAAAGTACCCATATTAAGGGACTACTTTAAGGCCCTAAGTATGTCTATTTGGGTACATGGACCCTTAGGGCTGAATGGGCCCTATACCGAACCCGGCCTGTATCGTGTAATAGAACTCTGTATTGCAAGCTGTTCAATGTATAGGGTTTAGGGTTTATAGGGTCTAGGTGTTTAGGGTTTTAGGGTTTAGGGGGTTTGGGTTTTCAGCTTCGCAACGCAACCTTGGCCGGCAGAGTCTAACTGCCTTGCCAGCTATCGCCTCAAGCTGCCTGCAAGCCACGATATTTTCAAATCAAAGCGCCAGGAATCCACAGGATGCTTGCGATGTGTTCAGCCTACCTGCTTTCCAGCAAAGGCCAAAGTCAAGGCTGTATCGGACCACTGTCTTCCCGGAACTTCTGGGCTGGGCAGACAACACTAGGTGTAGGCTTCGGGCCAGGAACCTACTCCAAACCCCTAAGCCTAATTATGCCCTAGACGACCCGAACCCAAAACCCCAAAACCCTGAAATCTTAAAACAATTTCCGGACACCGGCGAAGGTTCCGTTCTGCGCTTTTTTCAGGCATCTCCAACCAGCTGCGATTTGCGCTTCTGAAAGGCTCATGAGCGGGGCTTGGAAAGCTAGAATCGATATGAACCTAGGAATGAACGGAGCTCCGCCTCTTCCAACTTGGAACAAAAACTGTTAAAAGGAACCTAACCGGCCACAACAAGAGAAAAAGGGCCCATTGGGAGACTAGAATAGCACCAAGACCTGATTTCTCTAGCCCCTCCAGTCAAGCTGCCCTTGTAACTTCAACCGTAAGTCTTCGGCACTTCTATCATCCAGGGCCGAAATCGCCTCTAGCCTGGTTAGGGTTTAGGGTTTCTATAAGGGTTTCGGGCTTAGGGTTTAGGGCCTGTTTAGGGCAGGTTGTCGGATCCAGAGGTAGTCTCAAGGAGCACTGCCCAGAGTCACGTTACCCGGCATTCCTTTTTTTTGCACAGGCTTTCCACTTCGCCCGGAGTTGGAGCACGTTACCCGGCATTCCTAAACCCTAAATCCTAAATCCTCAACCCGAAACCCTAATGAAACCTTGACATGATGTCTCCGAAGATCTCATCAGGTAACCCGCGAATGTCTGGATATGTTGTAAAAGCTTTTTTTGTATCTGGACTGGGGTTTACAACTACACTGAATTGAAACTTGACAAGTACGGTCACATCGGAGTAGCATTCTGCAGTCAGGAATAGCTGCGAGCTGAATTTCCAAGACACAGTGTCTTGCAGAACTGACATCTGGAAGATGGCTAGGCGGTGTGTCTTGCGATAAGTTAGTTTCAAGAATACATATATACACAAGCTGATTACCCTTTGCTTCAGGAACTAGAGAGAAGAAGTTCAATGGACATCGCGCAGGCAGCTACAGTATCCTCCCGAAGATCAAACCTTTCACCTTTCAGTGTCAGCCAGTGTTCGACCGCTCACGCGTTGGCCTCAGGAGCATCAAGGGTCTCTGAGTGGGGGGGGTTATCAAGGATCTCAGTTGCGGGGGTCCAGCGGTCCAGATGACATAGTTTTCAAAGGGATCCGATTTTGTAGCCTCTCTCGTCGCATAGAAACCCTGCAACCCTAGATTCCCTCGATCCTAAGGCGGACTCGGAAGGCTACATCAAAGCCGCGGGTCGCAATCCTGACGCAAAAGAACGTGAAACCCACCGAAAACTTGCGACTGACGGCCCGGAAACTCTTCTAAACACTCAGCCTCTCCAGGACTAAGCTTCCAAGTACCCCCTTTCCTTTGGGAAACTGGCGGCCCCTATATCCCAGTAAAGGCTGCGTGGTGGGCTTGTCATGGGTCGGCCTCGTTCTGCTCTGTCCTTGGGTGGCCGGCAGGACCACGCGCTCCTGGTGTGCCGCAAGTTTGCCACATGCGCCAGGGAACCCAAAACCCTAAGCCTCTGGCGCAAGTAAGGTGAGAGAGTTTCAGGCCGGTAGAGCTTAAGATGGTGTAATTATAGGGGTTGCAGGGTTTGCTTCAAGCAGATATGTCATGTGTACATATGTTGTATGCATGCATCTGTGCGTCCTGTAGTTATGGATGGATGGATGGATGGATGGATGGATGGATGGATGGATGGCGTGTGGATATACGCATATGTCTATGAGTATTAATGTGTACATATGTATGCATACACACAGAACAGGTGTACAGACAAGTTTATGGATACACACATGCGTACATGTGCATGCATTCATGCATACATACATACATGCATACATACATACATGCATCCAAGCATCCATACACACATACGTAAGTGTGTATGTATGTATATATATATATACACATATACATGTATACTTACATATATATATATACACACAAAGATAGTTTGTATAATGTATGTAGGTAGGTATTTATGTACCTTCGTATGCACATACATACATACATACATACATACATACATACATACATACATATATATATATATGTGTGTGTGTGTATGATTGTATATGCATGCATGCGTGGATGCACGGCTGTCTGTCTGTCTGTCTTTCTGTCTGTCTGTATGTATGTATGTGTAACGTGTAAACGAAATCACAACATAGGGGCCTTCACGGCTAGAATGTGTTGTGTCTTTCGCTTGATTTTTAGGGGGGGGGAGTATAGCATGCTGTAACATAGTTAAGTTGGGGAATTGGCCGAGGCCGGGGGTCCAGAAACTCGAGGCACCTGGAAACATCGAACACCGAACATGTGGAGCATATGGTTTAGGGCTTTTGATTAGAACGCACAGCTTGACACCAGCACTCCTGGAATGACGGTTGACCTTAGCGACATGTAGTGGCTCTGGCAGCTGTTCTGGCTAAGGGTATAGGGATTTCCTCACCTTCCTTCGCCCGCTTCGCGGGCATTCGTGAGGGATCAGGCACATACGACTGCTGTCATTGATACTTCTGTTGTTTGGTCATGGAGCCTCAGGAAAAGGGGCCTGAACTATCGGTAAAACTCATTGGGTGACGTCGCTCATATATTTGCGGGTTCACAATACGGAGGAACCTCAAAGATCAAGTCCGGTTTGTTCAGGCCTTTCTACTGATTCGTTCAACCTTCGGGGGCAATTTCATAGAGTATGCGCCTCACAGACATCCAGTCTTGCCTTTGGCTGCACGTTCCTCCTCGGCCTTCGGCCTCGATCGCAATGAAACCCCAATGCTCCGAGGCCCGGGAGGTCGGGGCCGTAATCGTTCGAATCGGCTTTTGGGGATATAGTATACTGTGTAATAGCTAATAAAACGGCCTGAAATTTAATTTCAATAGGGTTTTGGGATATAGTATACAATAACTATAACAAGGAACCCCATACTCGTATTGGCAATTATATCTGGGCCCCTAATATCCATTGCTCTCCACGGTGGTCGCCTCACCCGAGACCCCTTTTTGCGCTGCGGCGACTCTGCTGCAGCATTCTTTGCCAGCAGCAGCCGGTTCTTCGGCATCTTTGGCTTTCCTACGTGGAGTTGGGTCCACAATTCGGCGCCCCGGGGGTGCTTCCGGTTTTTAAGACATGGGCTGCTGTTCGGCGTGAGCGCTTTAGAGATTCTGCTCGGAGCTCAGGGGCTTCACCTCGGAGGACATGGGACGGAGTTAGTCGGCTATATATGGAGGGTTTGTGTGCTCTGTGGCTTCAGTGACTGTGTCCTAGTAGAACTCCCTAAACCCCAAACCTTAACCGTGAACTCTACTTGCTTGATCTGCTCACTAGCTCCCCATCAGCCATTAAGTCACTATGTCCGGCTCCTGTGTGAAAATGAGTGAGCTCCTCAGAAGGGGAGGCCATGCCCTCTTGGCATGGTCCCGCCATGTCCTGAACCATTTCAGGAATCTCAAGTATACCTCTCCTTTGTAACTGGCTTGCAACGTCAAGCCAGGACAGCTGACACGTATGTCTCTCCTTTTTTGAACCCAGACTCTGCTGATCAGCCGGGAAATTACTCCCTAAAGCCTTAAACCTTAAACCCTGAACCCTGAAATCCCTGCATCGAAGCTCTTCTAGCCCCTTCAACCGGGCGAAGCAAGGCTCTTCCTGCCCTTCTCGGCCCTGAACCCCAAACCTGCAGCTCCTGGGCGCGAGAGCTGCAGCGTCTTACACCCTCTGCCCGAAAGCCCCAAGCACCATAACCCTGGCCCAGAGAGGGCCTAAGTACCAACGTGGACCGAACATAAACATAAACCCTAGAGGTATAGACTGCATCGATTTTTCGACACATTGGGTCACACTTCGCCTTCCGTCAGTCCAATATGGGATTTCGGGTTCGGGCTGCAGACATTGGGGTTCTTGGATGTGTAGGACTGACAGTCTTTAAGGCTTTAGGGTTCAGAGTCTTGGTGGTTAGGTTTCTCGGGGTTTCGGTTTCGATTTAATTCGGGTTGAGGCTACAAGTGTGTTGGGTTCCGCAGTGCGGCTAACTGCGTCGGCCTCATACACTGCAAATATCGCCAAAAACAAACACCTCCCACACTCAATAGAACTCTTAGACTACCAGATCGAAAGCACCATTAAATTTCCTCAAGCCGAGCTATTGCATCTGTCGCCTCAACTCCCCTATACCCTCATGGAAGCTG